CTGCCAATGTCTCCTGCGGAAACTTGCTAGGCCATGCAGTAACGAGTTTTGTTTACCGCTGACGAGAGTGTACAGGTCTCGCTCAGGTGAAACGTCTAATTGAACAGGAGCTAGCAAAAGAAATTAGCGAAAGTGCAAAATGCCCCCTAAGCCGATTCGCGTCTGCTTACCCATGGATTATATTATGGCTTTGATGCTACTTGTCCCTTTCCGAGCGTTCGATCCGGTGTCCAAGCACTCTCCATTCTCAAGAGGAAAACATGATTACAGGTGAAAGAACTCCAAGGACAAGTCGATGACGAACAGCGCAATCGCGAAGAAATCCGGGAGAACTACCTGGCCGCCGAGAAACGACTTGCCATCGCTCTCGCTGAAACAGAAGACCTTGCTCAAAGAATCGATGCCGCTGAAAAGGTAAGCACTTGAATTGTACTTGAGCAGGCTAACAACTTTAAAAGGGGAACCTGGTCTCAAGAAATGAATCAAAAACTGTTGGCTCTGAGTGGATCCTAGCATAAGTTAGACCCTCGCAGTTATCAGACAAGGTCTGAATAATACTCCTATGAGCTCGCCTACACTCTGTATCTCACGGTGAGAAGGGCCGTAATCGCGGACTCGGTGTCAGTGCTTCTTTCAGTACTACTCGACTGCGCCAGGCTTCAGTTTCATTGGTTGTGTGCCATTAGGTTCCAAATGCGAACAGCGAATCATTTCGTTGGGGAAAATGCGAGTTTATACGAAGCCACCGCCTCGCGGTTCACTAAGTACGCAACTACGACCAATCTATCTCCCTGATACAGGGTATGTGTGCGTGAGCCAAAATCTGTGTCAATTAAAGTTTGCCATGCGCCATGCTGTTTGTGGTATCGGATAGTAGAACAGATGTTCAATGCGGAATTTAGGAGAGGCGGGGTGGCCTTTGGTTTTGTTGGTTGTGGACCGTTACTTCTTCCATCGCCAACTCCGGGAAAGTGGAAAGCGGTAGTAAGTTGCAAATAATAAGATCGTAAGTGGGTTGAGGGATGGGATGCGAGGGAGTATGCTAGAGGAGGAACTTTTGGGGGATCGTATTTTGCGCAATCTCCCTCCAGGCTTGCCCAGGATGCAAGCGGCGAGAAAAGTACGAAGCACAGGACCCAACCCGCTCGGCATGGCAGCGCTGCTGTGCGTCGACTATATCTCCGACGTCAACTCGTAATGCGATATCACGACTGGGAAGTAACGCGCCGCACCCGAATTTGTATGCGTATCGTAGAGCATTGAGTTGAAAATGTGTTGTCCTGGAATCTTCACTTTTCTGGATGTTGTACAGATAGAAGTAGTGGGAGTAGGGAAAGGGGTTTGGGGTCGTGCTCAAGGGAACGGGGTCACCGTGATCGACCCTACCCCCTTCGCCGCTCATAGTGCATAATCGTTGTGCGAACCTCACACGGAGGTCCTGTCTGGTCGCTTAGGAGGATCCATGAGGCTGTCCTACCTGGCCGTTCAGGGAGTCCATAAGGGGTCATATCTGGTCGCTCAGGTCGACGCGTGTTGACATGGCTTCAGTCATCTCGATGGTATCCCGCGTTCCTTCCTCTCCCTTACTTATTAGGTCATCCCATTCAAAGTGGCCGACACATATAGAGGAATGGCAGAAAAGCAAAGGGGATAGAGCAGCGGGCTACTATACCATTTGGAAGCTAGTACCTTAAGCTGTGTATCTGTGAAATTTGGCGAACCTAGCCTCTGAAGAAGTTCTCGAGAAATTGAAGAGAAGCCCGAGTGGTGAAAATCGGCGCCGGTTTTTCAAATCAGACGTCATAAAAGGAAAGTGCGCTGCTCAAATTTGACCTGCGCCGGACCATAGTTGTGTGTAAGGGTGTTCTCGAAATACACGGTGGAAGATCTGGTTCAGGAGCCCGTACAAGGAAGAAAGGAAAAAATTTGTTGTCGTGGGTGGTCCCATAATATTCATCCTGCACAAGAAAAACGGGTGGATGAAGTCAGGCACTGAATATCTGATCACAGAGCCTGGACCCTTGTCGAGCTTCCCCGCGAGTCTGACATCCCAGCTGCAACATGCTGCCCGAGTTTATGTCCGATAAACTGAGGATGGTCAAGAGGGTGGCGCATGGGTACCTAATTTTCTTATAGAAGCACGAACGCAGTACCGATTCTATACCTCCTAGCAGTAATGTTCTCAGCATGAGATGTCACTCACAACTGTGAAAACGCACCCCGGCCCTAGATGAAATATGGGTGGTCTCGGACCTCGAGTCGAAACTTACAATCGTCAATTTTCTATGAATGCAGATGAGAAGCCGCCCGAGTTCTACCATGAAGAGTTACGTGGGCGCAAGTGGATGATCATCATAGCAAAGGATTCCCACACTGTGGCTTTGCCAAAAAAAGCGGGTCTCTATACAGAGGACAAATCCGTCACTGTCGGTGCATATTGCCTGTTCCTCGCATTCAGATCGACAAATGGATGGTACCACACAACTACAAGAAGGCCACCGGCTCGCACTAGTGCCAGGACCCGAGTGAACTGTATGTAGCATCAAGTGCTGGGACACAAACAATACTGAGACCTGAGTTCAATCGTCCCATTCGCCCGTCATAAAGCCATGCGATTACAACTGTTCTATTCAGTAGAGAGTACTCTTCGACGGCAGACGCTACAATGTTTTGTCATTTGCCGAAATTGGCAACAACAGCAATTTACTCACACTTGTTGAAAAATCGAAGGTACCAGAGGTCCAAAGGCTCGGGTGGGAGGCGCGGGTCTGGTGAAGGAGGGATTTACTCATCCTAAAGCTAAAATATCACTTTTCTATCTATTCTCCTCTTTGTTTATTCAAAAAAAGCCATCGGCCACTTTGAATGGGATGACCTAATAGAACTGCAGTTATTAGACCCTCTTCCAAAGGATACTTTTGAACCGCAGTAACTCATTCCTACTATTTTGTGATTGTTCTTGTCCTGGCTCCAAGAGCGTCATTCTATTCTCCAAAGATCTAGTCTGGCATTACGGTTCTCCCCATCTCTCGATTCTCCCCAATTTTCTCCCGACTCTTACGCTCCTACGCGGATGACCCCCCCCCTATGTTCTTTATGGTAATTATCTTTGTTTTTCAGTCGAGACATCAGCTAGAAATCGACCAAGCCGATCTGAAGTCTCAAAACAACGAACTCATCGCTAACAATGCCGCCCTTACCGCAATGAAGCGCAAAGTTGAAAACGACGTCCAAATTGCTAGAGTGAGTCGCTCTTCTGTTTACTCTGCCTAAAAGAAGCATTTCTGTCCATCTGCTTTCAGAATGAACTGGATGAATGTCTCAATGAACTCAAAGCTTCGGAAGAACGCTCCCGCAAGGTAAGAAAGTCTTGGATTTGCATAGAAGCGAACACCCCTAAGACCAGCGGTATTTCAGGCAGCCGCCGACGCTGACCGTTTGGCCGAAGAGGTTCGACAGGAACAGGAACACGCTGCTCATGTAGAACGACAAAGAAAGGGATTGGAACTTACCGCGAAAGAACTCCAGGCCAAGATAGAAGAAGCCGAGAGAGCCATGCTTCAATGTACTGTTACAACATTTTCTAGACTCCCTCTTTACAACGTTACAGATTTTCTATATTTTCAGTCGGTCAAAAAGCCTTATCCAAGGTTGAAGAGAAAGTCCGCCAAGCTTCCGCTCAATACCATGCTGAAGTTCGTCGCCATCAAGAAGCCCTCAAGGGCTTAACTAAACAGGATCGACGTTCCCGAGAACTCCAGTTCCAGGTAAAGTTAGCCTTTCTGCTCGGCTCCGCGACTTTTCCTACATATCTCAGCTGTCACCTACGCTTCTTTATTGCTGGTACGCATAAGTCGTTGTGCCTTCCCTATTGGTGTGGTCCAGCCCCCTCCCCTTAAACGCCTTGGAAAGAAGACCACACCAATGCAGAAGGTATAACTGTAGGTCCGGCTCCGCTCAGGATGTACTTCCGCTCGGGAGCAGCGTTTCAAAGGCTAACTGTACACTCGCCTACAAGGACCACCATTTCATATGTGAATGGATCCGCAGTAGCGTGCCACTTTAACCACTCAAAAGTGAATGAGAACGGCTCTAGACAGTGGTTATACCCGGAGCCCCTCTCCATACTCCACTCGAGAGTATTCATACCCGGCCCCGTGTCCATACCTCACCCGTGCTGTCTCCAATGTGCAGCACTCCCATCGATATCAAGGACTTCCCCACGTTTCCAGTGGCTGTGAAAGACTAGAAGATAGAGGGCGCAGACTAGTAGTGCGTTTGGCTATAGTTAGTCTCGTGGATCGCCGTGCGGCAGCTGAGCGGAGTGTGGAGACTGCACCCAGGTATCACTACCCTCCAGCCCCTATCCCGTCCATTATTGACAGAAGAAATGCACCGCTACTGCAACAGCGGGCTCATTCACCTCACACATGGCAAGGACCAGTACCAGTGAAATTAGCGTACAGTTTTTCTTAACCAGATTTTAAGACATCTCTGTTTTACTATTTCTTTACAAAGCCGATGTGTATGGATGAAGCTTCTTGTCCATTCGGTAGCAAACGAAGTCATTCGATGGGTTGTCCTGGAGGGGGTGGATAGATTAAGAAAGCGGAAGGTTGTGAAGAAAAACGATGGCAAGGTACCAAACAGTTGGCAGTGTCGGGGAGATGTCTTGGCAAAGTACACATGCGATAAGAGACTGGCATAGATTAGGAGCTTGAAGAAGGCCATACTTAACTTCTAACTCTCCCAACTTGAGTTTTTTTCATCATCGCTCTTTCTGAAAAGCATTTGCGTCTCATAGAGGAGGGAGAGACTGATGTTTTGACAGTTACCACATGCCACTTCTCGGGCGAAGGTGGTATAGAACAAAGCTGCGGCGCTTACACTGTGCATAGTCTGGAGGTAAAATCCGCAAATGCTCCCACATGGAATAGAAACCACTCGATCCCTTCGGTATCAGCTGTTTGGTCAGCCTAACCTGGGGCAATAGGAACCCGTTCACCATAACTTCTGGCCCAGAAAGTCATATCAACGTCGAATCGCACTCACAGGCCACTACAATTAAGGGCAGACATGGGATTTGTGGCGCACCCTGAAAAGTGGCTGATCGACGCCGAATGCTTTATCGCCTTTACTTCTTATCGACAAAATGAAATGAAAATGAA